GCCCCCTCGACGCCTCCTCCCCGGCGCGCCCGCCCGCTCTCTCGCGGCTCCCCCCTTCCCTCCTCCCCGGCCCCTCTCGCTCCCTCACCTCGGCCCTCCCCACGTCCCCTCTGCTCGGCTTCCTCCCCCATCCCCTTGACTCCCCCCGCCCAGCCCTCGCTCCCTCGCTCGCCCTCAGCGCGGCCCCCGCCATGACGGAGGCGGGTGCCCGTGCCGTTGCCGCCGCTGCCGTCGCAGGGGGGGAGTCGGGTTCCCAGAAAGTAGCTTGATGAGTGTCCAAAGTAGCAGTGGAAGTTTGGAGGGGCCGCCATCTTGGTCCCAGCTCTCCACGTCTCCAACCCCGGGCTCGGCGGCGGCGGCCAGGTCCCTGCTGAATCACACGCCGCCATCCGGGAGGCCCCGGGAAGGTAAGCGCCACGGCGCCGCTCCCGCTCGCGTTCCGGTTCCCGGGCCTGCGTCCCTTCCTCCTCCCTCCTTTCCGCGTCGCGACCCCGCGCCCCTCGCCGGCCCCGACCCCGGCTGGCTGGGGGCGGCGGGGAGGGTGGCGCGGGGGACTCGAGGCCGCGGGCCCCGGGGAGGTGCTGCACTCGCTGGCTTGGTGGATCACGGGTGGCGGAGGGGACGGACGATGGGTGCGCGCCGGTGGGGACCGGGCGAGGCGCACAGACGCGGGGCCCCCTCCGTGCTGCGAGGGTGGGTAGCCTTCCCTTCCCTCCCGGACTGAGCCCCCTTTCTCTCCATTTGTCACTCCGCTCAGCCCTCTTAACCTCCCGGCCTCGGGTCTCGGTTGGGCTCGGGCTCCAGTCGGAGCTCTCCTCTCCTCGCCGAGCCCCCTCCCCTTCCCCGCGCACTCCTCCCCCGGAGGCGGGCCTCGCGCGGCGAGGTGGGCTGCCGGGAACCCGGAGGATTGTAGGGTAGCCCCGGTATTGCGGGGATCGCTGTCCTGGGAAAGAGATCTAGGCAGAATTGGTTCCCAGCGTGGCCCCCTAGCGCAATTCAAACGGCCGGCGGACTCGTGGGCTGGCTGTTGGAACCACCCCTCCAGATGGTGGCAACTTTCTCTCCTTCGCCATCGCCTCCTGCCCCTCCTGCGTGTCGGTGCGTTGTCTTCGCCGGTGCCAGTAGGCTGCTGCTGCTTCTTGTTCTTTGATGCGGTGGTGGGTTTTGTGGGAAATAGCTGCGGGAAGGTTTCTGCAAACATGCACCAGATCGATGACAATTGTTTTCTAAGTTTTCTGGCTGCTTGCAGGCAAGTGTGCCACCACCAGATGTAGCAGTTACACAGCTAGCTAGTGAGGCACCGGAGTGCTTTCGACTACAATTTCAACTTGGCTGTATTTAACTTTTAAGTATACGACAGAAAAAGGAATTTGGGAGAACACTCGGTTTACAGGGGAAGAAGAAATGTGCATCGGATCTCTTCTAACGCCCTTTTGTCTGAGAAAATGCGTCATGGTATTCATCAGCAGTTGGTACATGGGTTGTTCACTCCCAGTTGTCTTGAAAGATTATCTAGGCACGTTTCAGAAAAACAAAACAAGACCAGAAAACGTGTGAAAGTCCAACAGTCTGGTGAATCTTTTGCTGAAATTTAGAGTTTCGATTTATGTAGGAATCGGTGGGATTCATTGGTTTTGAAAATAGTATGTTGGATGTGTACTATTCAGAGCCTGGCCAATTGTTAATCAAGTGTTTTGTGCCCTGAATCCAGTGGTTCCGGCAGAGCATTCTTTGTCATTTTGTTCCTGTGATCATGTGTGAAAGTGACAATAGGCTCAAAGATTGGCATGAATATCCTCTAGAAAATTCATGGAAAGGTTTGATTTATGGCATCCATTAACCACGCTAGCTTCATTGACAGACATTTCCCCTTTCATCCCACCCCCAACGCTGGAGGTTCCCTTATTAGAAGAAAACAGCTTATTTGTTCAGTCACTCAGATTAAGTACATCTGATGAATTTTCTGCCACTTGAAAATTGCTGAATGTTTTAAAATGTATTTTGTAAACAAATCAGTTGCTGCTGTTAGCATATTTTTACTTTTGTCCGTAGTTTTAGTAAGATTTAGTCGTACAGTAGGTTATGAGTTAAGGGCCATTTTATTTTTTGAAAGACTATCCTTTCTGATCTTTCACATTCCTTTCTCAAGTATTTATTAAGCCCATCACTGTGAGTCAGACCTATCCTGGATACTGAGCAATTGAATTGTTCACCTCTTCACATTTTGTTCAGTATTGAGAATTTGGGAGCCCCAAGTTCTAAATTGAGTTTTTCATAGCTTAAAAGCTTTGCTAATTAAACTTTGGATAATTAAACTTGACTCTTCAAATATCCAGAATTATTTTTCCAGCAGTTTTAGATTACAATAGATTTTTTTTTTGTTAACTCGTAGTGGTGGTGTCTGTTAATTCATGAAATAATAGGACATGCTTTTATGGAAGTTTTACTTCACACAAGTTGCTTTTTTTAAAAGGTGGGGATGTTTTGGGGTGTGTGTGTGTTGTATTGGGATGGAACTCAGCAAACACTAGGCCACTGAGCTACACTGACAGCTTCACACCAGTCCTTCTGTGTCCAAGTGGGATATTTCTTTTTGACCAAGCAGCATGTAAGCTAAAACCATGTTAATCCTCAAGGGGTATGTATTTTCAGGTTTGGAGTTGTAGTCTCAGATTTCACTAATGCTAACAGGAATTGTACATAAGAAGCTCCAGGTATCAAACTAAAGGTGTTTCTAGTTGAGTGGAACCTCAGTTTTTATTTTAACAAGTGGTTATCACCTTTTATAGGTGGGTGTGTTAAAATGCTGAAGTTGGAGAGATCCTTTGGCTTTAGGTAACTGCTAATAAGAACTTAATGTAATGAATATAGGAATCAAAGAACAGACCTAGTTTCTTGAAAAAAACTGAGGCAGTTTAAAATACAGTATTAAAAAGCTTAAGTTTTAATATATATAAACGTTTATTATTAACTCCTCTTAAGCAAATTTAACATTGAAGATGAGTTAAAGATCTGCCTTGAAATGTTAGTAAAAGTTTCTTTCTTTGAACTTATTCAAGTTTTGACATACTTGAATAAAACAAGTCTGGGATTGTAGTTTTGATTGGTGAGGGGAGGGGGAAGAGCTATGATGTGTTATTTATATCTAATTACAGTGCTAGGAATTGATCTAAGCTCATTATTTTATTTATTTATTTTTTTGCTGGTCGTGAGTCTTGAATTCAGGGCTTGGGCTCTGTCCCTGAGCCTTTCTGTGCTCAAGGCTAATACTCTACCACTTGAGCCACAGTGCCACTTCCTGCCTTTTCTGTTTATGGTACTGAGGAATGGAACCCAGGGCTTCATGCATGCTAGGCAAGCACTCTACCACTAGCCACATTCCCAGCCCCTGAGCCCATTATTTTTAATGTTGTATATTTTGGTTTGGCTCTCTTCCTCCCTTTGTTGCTTAATTGTTATGATCATATTTATAATTTGATTTGCAAATAAAATATGGCTTTAAATATGAGATTTAGGAATCTATTAGAATGTAGGAATTTATATGGTAGATATAGTACAGACTATATTCTTTCCTCTGGGCTCCTAGGCTTCTTCTTTATTAACCTTGAAGTTTTAGAGGACCTTGGCAGTATAGCTTGAGTGTTTCTGTTGGATCTTGTGAACCTCTAATCTCTACACCATTTGCCTTCTATAGTCCTATATTAAGGGGTGGGGGGAGCTAAGTGTTCTGGTAAGGTTAGTTTTACTCTGTTGAAGTTTAGGAACTTAGCGTCACATTAGCTAGATAAGCAGTGGATTTGTTTCTTTTTATTTTTTCTTTTGTGTGTTAGTGTGTGTGGGGTATTCTTCTAATTGATTACACAAATCACTTGCACTTTCTTCCCAGTTTCATCTTGTCAGTTATAAATGCTTGTTTTTACCTTTCTGTAAATAGTGGAAATATTTTATTCCAAAAGATGGCATCACAGTACAACTAAACTATTGCTGTCTGTTTCCATACTTGAGAACTTCATTCCTTAGATGAAGTGTTTGACTTATGATTGTGTGCCTGTATGGAGATGTTGAAAGTAAAACTGCCCCAGATTCTCCCACAAGTCTCTAATTTCTTGAATCACTAGATAGAGGAGGACTGGATTATGTGTTTTAAGAATTCTAGCACATGAGTGGAGTAACATTTTCAGGACAAAGATCTGGGAAATCAGTTCATGAGAAATAGGGTATAAGTTTTAACCATTTTGGTCTCAGAAGCCTCATAAATATTGAGGACCCCCAAGAGATTTTGTATATGTTGGTTGTATTTATTCATTTTTGCTATATTAGAAATTGAGAATTTTGCAGAGCATTGTGACTCATGTTTAAAATCCAAGCTACTCTCTGGAGATGGGGATTGGGAGGATAATCCTTAAAGACCAGCCTGGAGTTTGGGGGTGGGAGGGAGGAGAAAGAACATTTCAGCAAATAAGCCTTTTAATTCCAGCTGCTCTGGAGGCATAGGTGTGAGGATGGTGATGCTGCAAGACTGGTTGAAAAATAAGCCAAGCAAAAAGTACTGGGGCATAGCTCAAGTGGTAGAGCACCTGTTTAGCGAGGACAAGACCTTGAGTTCCATCCTTGATACCAACAAAATGAAAAAAATATTTTGAAAGCATTATAAAAGTAATAAGCTGATCATATTTCAATAACATTTTTATGAGAGTATGTTCCGAAACAAAAGTTTAGTGCAATTGGTATAATTAGTTGTATTTTATATTATTGGAAATCATTCTTAATATTGGATTATGAGAAGAAGGCAGGATTTTGTTTCTATTTCCATTCTATCATTATATAAACACACACACTATGAATACACACATATTCCTGCAGTCTAAATTCAATGCCACATGCTTTCTTAGCAACTGCTTTATCACTTGAGTCACACCCCCAACTCTTTAGTTATTTTCTGTGTGGGGTCTCTAGATTTTTGCCCAGTTGGCTTGGGACTTCAGGCTTCATCCTGAATACCTGGGGTTATAGGTGTGCAACTATCGTGCCCAGCTTGTTTGTTGAAGTGGATGTTTCTCTAACTTTTTAACTGGGCAGGCCTTGAACCATGACCATGACCCCTCTGGAGTAGCTGGAATTACAAGAGTAAGGCTACCTCGTTCAGATTATTATTGTGATGTATTTTGATTGAATGAAATACATAAATGATACCTCATATGAATGAGATAATGGAGTTTTAAAGGCAGTAGTAGATAACAGCCTTTTCAGATACTGTCCAAAAAGTCAACAAGTGGCAGTGTTTTTAGAACAGGTTACTTGCCATATGGAACTACTTTGTTCTTGAAAAGTGTCTCTAGGACTAACAAGAATCCTATGGACCATATATTTAGCCTATGGAACAGACCAAATGTTGAGAGACACTGGT